TGTCCATCTGTCTGTCCGTCTGTCCGTCTGTCCATCTGTCTGTCTGTCCATCTGTCTGTCTGTCCGTCCATCCGTCTGATGTCGTGTTTCTTGTCTTATTAAAGTCAGCTCAGTTCAAAAACAATAAGAAATAAAACCGCTGTGGCTTCGTCTCCCCGACTTCCTCTCTCACTGCTTCTTGGCGCTCGTCTCTCGCTCGGCGGCGTCCATGGCGGCCATGTTCTGGGAAGCGGTGACGAGGTGCAGGGCGCTGATGCCGGACTTGAGCAGGCAGATGATCCCGCAGAGTCCCTGCAGCCAGTAGAGCCAGGCTGCAGACAGACAGACAGACAGACAGACAGACAGACGGTCAGCATTGTTTTTAGGGTGGAAAAGCTTCTGATTTTATGTTTTCTGTTAGAAGTGTTCAGATGTTAACCTGCATATGTTGGACAATTAGCATAATGAGCTTTAATAATCAGCTCTGTGGAGAATAAAGGAGGTTTTGGGTTATTGAGGACGTTGAATCCATTTCTGACATTTTAAAAGTAGAAAATGGACATTTAAACTAGAAGAGGCCACATCAGCTCCCTGTGGCTGATTGTGATGAATTTTAAGTTACTTTTGATGTTAAATGTTTTTCGGAACAATTTTTTAAATCTAATTTTTAATTTCTAAAAGATTTAAGTTTTTCTAAAGATGAAAAGTAACTTACCTCAACAACAGATTATTATTAGGTCAGCAAAACCTTTTCATTTATTTCAAAACTAAAACGTTTGAGTTTAACAAAACAAAATAAAACGATATGATATAGATAGATATGAGTAAATATAAGTTTAATCAACATTGTATTACAGTGTAGGTGATGCTAATGAATGCTAATGTCAGAAATGGATTCAGCATCTTTAATAAACCCTAAACCTCCTATACTGTCCAAATCAGCCAATCAGCTGCTGAAACACTGTCCAAAGAGCTGATATTAATGATAATGATGCTAACGGTCCAACAGCTGGAGAGCCACACTGAGCGTCTCTAACAGAGAACTCTGGACTGTCGGACAGACGTCTTACCAGCTGGTTCCTGGATGTGATGGAGGAGGTAGAGGAGGCAGAAGAAGAGCTCGTTCCCGGCGCACATCACAAACAGCACCGGCTGCAGGAGACACACAGAGTCAGAGAGTGTGTGTGTGTGTGAGTGTGTGAGAGAGAGAGAGAGAGAGAGAGAGTGTGTGAGAGAGTGTGAGAGAGAGAGAGAGAGAGAGAGAGAGAGAGAGAGAGAGACCTCAGTGGG